CGGCTACTTGAATAATCTAAATGAGTTCGGAATACTATTTCCGAACTTATTTAGATTTGCATATACGTCATTTAAATTTGCATTCTGGCAGGAAATTGAAATCAGAAGGGAAAGGAAAGTATCTTAAAATAAAAAAACAACTTATTAGTACAAAATAAGGTCTTTACAATGTATACATACATACATTTCTGAATCTGGTGCCGATAACAAAAGAGTACCGAAATTACTTTAGAAAATATGGTTTTTATTTACAACCTTTTCAAGTTATTTGTAATATTTCGGACATCAGTGAGAGAAATTTTGAAAATTTATCTTTAGAATAAGTTGCAATTAATGATGATATTGTTACAAAATGCCCAACTGCGGTAAGATTGCTTCCCCGCAAAGCGACTAGTGTTGCCAGAAAATGGCAAAGAAAGGCAGGGTTGCCAGATTTGGCGTGAACTTGCCCATTTGGCGAAAAAATTCGCGCTATGCCATAGACGGAGCAAGTACATTCTAGAACATATTCTTACCGATTTTACCGAGAATGCTCTCGAAGGCAGGTCGAAAGCTATATACACCCTGTCAATACGCGGAGTAGAAGAGTATCTTGAGTATGCTGAGTTTAGTAGTAGTATCTTGAGATCAGTAGCAGAATAGTAGAGTTGAGAGGTTAGACAGATTGACCAAATCGGTAGCTGTACTTTAGTGTTTTGCCGTGAAGCTGTCTTCACTGTTGTAGGTTGAGTTGCTGATTGTTTCAGTATGTTTGCTGTAATTTTTCAGCGACTGGAAAGTGTCTTTGGAACTGTCCTATGCAATACTGACGAATAAATTGTGTTTTGATTCTTTATCAAGTGTTGTAATCAATCACTCCAAATCCATGAACCCGTAGAACGCGACAATATACGACAACACTGGTTTATAATATTGTAGAAAGTGTTAAAAGAGTTGCAGAACTGAAACTGACAATGAAAATTATACGAAAAAAAAAATTACTATATACTCACCTCAGCTAAATGGAGAAAAGCACTGCAAACTCGAAGAACTCTTGAATTGAAAGGTGGAGATCCGAAAAGCTACCAACAGTTTTACAAATTCAATACAATTGAAAGACTGTTGGCGAATAATACGAAACATACACGGATATAGCAATTCCTTGTAAAAGTTAACATTTCATCAGGTATGTAATTATAGAACTTTTTCATAAAAAATAATAAATAAATTTACAATTTTCGCAAATTAATTTTAGCTTTAAATTTTAATTAATAATTTGTTATTATTTTAATTTTATTTCCTATTTTACTAAATATGTTCAAATTTGGGGCTGTAATAAGCCAATACTGAAATCACTGTTTATTAAATGCAGCCGCTTAACAAACTCAAATATGTTCGAAACGAAAGCCATTTGAATAACCGGTGGGCACTATATTCGAAAAGATAAAATTCTATAGAAATTCTACTTCAATGAGCTGACCATTTTCAAGTGAGAAACGGATAACAGTGGGAGAACAGAAGCAGTGGGCTCAAGCAGACGCATAGCTGTGGAATGACAGATTTCATCTATATAAAGAAATATTAAAAAAAAAAAAAAAAAAAAAACTGCTTTATTAATTAAAAATGTTGAACTTACTCTTATTTTTAAGTAAAAGAACCCATAAAAATGTTTAGATATAATTTAGAAGTATATTGTGTAACATATATTTAAATACACTAATAGGAAAAAACTAAAAAATTTACTAATCACTATTTTTCTGAACTAGGTCTGTTAAAATACATTAAATAAAGTTATTTGTTTATTGATTTCAAGTAATTTGCCTATTTAAGTAATAGTTAGTTTATTTAAAAGAACATTTTTCTCTAAAGAGGGAAAAATATATCCTGAACACCCTAGAATATTCAGTAAAAATAACCATTAACGTTAAGCAAATATAAATTTCGGATATTACGGGACTAAAACTGCTATAGCCTGAAAGCCTATTTTATTTCATTCATATCTTAAATTTGAGCAATCAGTTTGCAATCCGACGAGCAAAACCTATTTATTCCTACAGTGTTTCCTTTGAGTATCCTATGTTTCTCAACAAAAAATTACTTTAAGTATGCTAATTTTTCTTTTACGTTCACGAAGAATGGCTTAATATTGTTGCGAATTTTGTACATAGATATATAGTGCAATTACTTATGACTTTAGGGCAATTATTTATGAAATTGTTGTATCGCTGCATAATGTAACATGAAAAACCTAAAAGAGACAAGCTATGCCGGAAAAGTCAGAATACAGAGGCAAGTGCATCATTGAGTAAATGGGTATTTTAGTAATTAGGCGAGATATCGCCAAGTTGGTGACTTATTTTTAGCGACGATTTTGGCAACATATTTTGCCGCCTTTTGGCTATAAATCGCCAAAATTGGCGATATTTTAGGCCGGTCCCTCTGTCACCGTAAGAAGTATTGTAAGAATCGTCAAAATTGAGCTGCTAAAGTTTCAGCACAACTTTACAACAGTACTTAAATGTAAGCTTTGTAAACACTTTTTTTTATTTCTTACTTAATTCTGATAGTAAACCACTGACGTAAACAGATCATGTTTACAAAAATGATTTGTAACGTGGGAACATCAAGCCTGTTTCTACTGCAATATATAATTGTTCTGAAACATGTTACCTGTACCCACTACAACAGATAACATCTTCAAAATATGCACCTGCACAACTATGTATATCATGTAATGTAATCCATTTTACTTGAACTAATTTAACGCTGAAAGGTTAGGAGTGCCGTTGATGCCGCCGGCGGTGGCAATACTTGTAGTGCTGGCTGGAGTCACAATTTCCATCACGACTTGAGGAATGATGCCGGATTGTTGTTAATTTTCTAGTTAGTGTGTGGGGCTAATACCTACTTACTTAGGGTAAATATTTGGTAGCCCTTTCACTTCTATATAACATAACATAAGTATTGTAATTTAATAAATGTAATTGATAACTGTGTTAGCTTTAACCTAATTCACTCTCGTATTGCTTTCCAGTAAGTACTAGAAATATCTTGGCGGCCAGTTGTGAACTAAATAATACAGGAGAGCGAGCATATGTTCTTAGTTAGATAGTTTGCAGTTGTTGTGTTATTGTTGCAAGTTGTTATTTTAGGGTGAGATCGGTGATGTTTCCGGGTCAGTTATCTCTTTAGATACACTGTACATTGCGTTATGTTTAACGTTATTAGTAGTTTTAAGTGGAAATACTGATGGTACTGTGTAATACATAGCAATATGTTGGAAAAAGCTATGGAATCGAAAGAAAACATCCAAAGTTTTATAAAAGAAATATGTCTTCTTAATCATTAAAACAGCGTATCCATATTATAGGTAAGTTTAATGCATATTTGATACATATTATATATTTTAGAGTAAAAAATATAATATAGTTTTTAAAGAGCTAAAGCTTAAAATTTAGTGATAATAAAACCCTCAGCGATAGTAACTTTGAATTGAAGCTCTCGCTCCAAATCTTAATAATTATATTAAAATTCTGATGTGGACTTCACACTAAATTATACACATTTTTGCTACACTTTATTTAAACTTATTTTTTCGAATTATTTTAACTTTAAGAAATATCTAAAATGGCATCAAAAATTGCAAATTTAAAAATTAAATATTCCGGTCAATTTTTGCCTACAGGAGTCAAATTTCGAATTTCATTTTTTTCATAACAAGTGTAAAACTTTCTCCTCAAATATATGAATTGGAAAACCGTATTAAAAGTTATATTTCGGTGTTTGTCAAAAATTAATTCCTTTAAAAATTTGACATTGTCAAAATGTGAATATTTTCGTTATTTAAAATACTTCTGTAATTCTGTATAACTATAATCAACGATTACGAAAATTGTATAATATTTTTTGTTAGTACGTTGTTAGAACTTAGTAGAGAAGATAAACCCAATCAATTTTTAGTCCTGACCGAGAAAACTGTTGCCTAGATGGAGGGAAAATCGCAGCTGGTGTGATGGTTAAAATATCATTTTTATTTTGAACAGGAATAATTCTTCAGAAATACATTTTTGCTTAGTACAACACTAAAGGTGCTAAACGCGTCGCACAATTTCTATACAGGCAGCTTACATTTTAAGTAATAGAAAAAGTACAGCGAAGCAAGAGACGTGGCTTATTCAGGCAGCAGCAGGCAATAAAGTAAAGTATGGGTGGTAATGGTAACGGGTAACACTTCCTCTGTTCCTGCGATAGATTATACCACGCTTCCTCTTCTTCATATACATCATTTCTAGAGCGCTGTGGATCGTGCATTCCTTTTCATAGATTACAACTTCCGACCTTATTGTACAGCAGCTGCCGCTGAGGTGTAGGAGAGTCCTGAAGCTATTCGCTACAGGGATTAATCTGCAAGGTCCCTCGATCTAACTCCAATTGAATAGATATCAAACGCCCGGGGCACGTCGCTAATGCACATCAGCCATTTCGCAGCTGCGATCGGGGCTATAAAAGGAATGGGCCATGCTCATTCAAAAGCTTCGTACCTTTCTCTTTCTTTTCTAGCTTCTTCCTGATGATCTTCTACTACAGGACCCTCCCGAGTTCTCCACAAAGCCAGGTCCTTCGGGAAGTCTCTTCTGCTACTGGAAAGTACTGCCACAATGCAGTAAAAATCCAGTATATTACAACTTAGTATCTTAGTATTCAAAAGCCATGCTCAAAAGTTCGTCAGAGACTTGGTACTGAGGGGTGAATAGACAGCGAGCATTCTGTTTAGCAGTCAGGGATGATTATATACTTCGCTGAAAATGATATTCTTCATGTCTGTTTCGATCGTCTATCCTACTTAGTTCAGAACCTGTTTTTGAGTAAAGGTCCCGTGCGTATTTTTTATCACTGTCTCCGTCACTTACTATGCCTTTTCTAGTCTTACATCTCGATTTTGTTTCTAAGCAAATAAACTTAGTGAAATTGTTTATGAGATAATAGTTTTTTTTTTTTTTTTTTTTTTTTTTTTTTTTTTTTATAATGCGTCCCGAAAATCTAAAGAGGAGATGCTTTGCAGGAAAAGAAAGAATACAAGGGCAAATCTTCTTAATGTTGAGTAAATGTCTTGCTGGTTTGGTGAAATATCGCCAAGCTGGCGACGATTTTTCAGCCTAATTTTTGTCCCCGAATTTGGCTAGAAATCAATAAAAGTCTCCAGACTTGGTGACTGTTTGATGACATTTTCGTTCGGTCTCTCTATCACTGTAATATGTATTGCAATAACTGTAATTGATTCCATGTGTATCTGTAACGGTATCATATACCTTCTAGTAATTTTAAGAAGTAGTAGAGATGTCTTGGCGGCCGTGTGAAAACTATATAAGACCGGAAAGACCATATGCTCTCAGTTGTTAGTTCAGATTCAGCTACAACGTTTTGAGAATCTCCGTGTTTGCTTCGCCTTTTAGATGTGCTTTCCATTGCGTGGTGTCTAACGTTCTTAGTAATTTTAAGTCGGACTACTGATTGTACTTTGTGATACTGTAAAGAGCTGTGCGAGTATTTTTGTGAAAAATTCCAGAACTGTGAAGTGTTTCTTTTCTTAAAATACATTTTATCAAACTATCATCAATTCTGTGCATTCAATATATTACGAACCCGTACGTACGAAACTATGTATTTTGTACAGATCTGAAACACCGTTCTATGTAACTACTACTTTATGCGATGCGAAAAAAGTGCATCATCGATAATTTTTGCTCATTAGCGTATCAATGTCCAGGTTTTAATCACTCCGTTACTGATAGTGGCCAGGAATAGTTAATTATCGTCATTCCTTCTTAGTCTTTAAGAAAGGCTTGATGATATACACCGCAACTTTATTACATAAAACCTTCTTCCGCATTTTTCACTATGAGTCGGAAAAAATATACAGTTACAAACTGGTGTTTGATGATTTTAAAGTCAAAAGATAATTTTCGCATATTTTCCTGGTATAACTTTTTAATGTGTCATACATTTTTCAACATTTCTGTCCGATAAGCTAAATTTCTAAAATTTTTAAACTATACATGATAACCAATAATCTTCTTTTTGAAAACAGGCTAAATTTTAATGTGTGGTTCTAAATTTTAGCATGAAATTTTTAAAGTTCATACCAATACTTAATTGCAGACTGTCAGAATTTAACATTTTATAGCAGAAGTCCATGTTACTATTTTAAATTGATTATGATTTAAAAAATCCAAACAAAAGAAGGCACTTTTAGTTAAGTGTTGTTTAACTGGTAACATAATCATTGAGATTTAGTCCTTCGATGTGAATCGTTCTTCTAGCGCCAAGGCAATTTTCTCGTTCGATGAATAATTTCCGTGATACCTTTTCTAATTCCAACATCTGTTTCATTTTCTCGTCACTGAGATTTTGCAATAGATCTTTATTCCGCTCCACATTATCAAACACATACGATTTCTTTGTTTCTATATTGCGTAGTTCTTCTTCTAACCTATTAAAATAAGAACAAAATATAGAAAAATAATTTAATGCATACATTCAATGAAAGACAAATAAAAAGGTAACTAAGCCATCTTAAGTTACCCAAAACTTGAGTTTACAGTTTTATGGTTTTATTTGATTATGGCAAGATGTCTTTGTGGAGGATTTTAAGAAAAACTGGCCCGTTTTCACCTTGCAGAATGGGAAAATCACAAAAATTCAACTTATTTGTCAGTATTTGATGCCAAGTTAAACTACCAGGTTTCAGCGGTCTTAGCTACTCGACCACTGGTGGGTTGCTTACGTTTACAGAAACTGATATAAGATCAGATTGGATTTATTTGCAGGTACACCACATTTTGCTTTGCTTCCTTTCAATTTAATTTCATCAATACAACTAATCGTTGAAGACGAAAGGTTTAAACCGCACGGGTCCACGTATAAACAGTTTTTTTTTCTCAATAGCTGCATAGCTGCATATGAGAAAATTTAGGAAAATGCATTCTAGGGGGGCTAACTAACAAACAAATCACATAGTTCACAAATGTATATATAAACAATTTAGAATATTAAGTATTTTATGAAAATGCATACGGCATATATTAGCATAAGATAACTAGATCTTCTGACAACTGATAAGAAAAAGTTCAATAAAGTAAATAGGTTATGGACTGAAGAAGTAGGAATTTTAAGTAGAAGGAAGGGAAGAAAACGAATTTTAAAATTTTATTTCATATGAAACTACTATGATGAGGAATGTGAAGTTATCAATTTCTAGGGGCTTTTAGTAATCCTTATTCAAAATTAAGTTATTCTTTTGCATACATTTAGAAAAAAATTTGACATGTTATAGTATATCTAGACAAATTACTTAGTCATATTTATGACGCCATCAGTAGAACTGTAGCGTACAAAATTCATCGGCAGTGTTACCTGAATAAAATTCTAGAGGATAGCGCAATTGAACAAAACAGCTATGAATAACTTTCCAAAATAAAATAGTAACAGCTTGGAGATTATCAAAATCGTAAAAAACAACCTTGTATTTAGCGTAGGTATAATGAAACACTCAATCGATTTCGAGGGCAGCTAAAGTCCCCTCATCAGGAGAAAGAATACATAGAAAAGAAAATAGGAGAAGGAGTACAGAACACGGGTCCTTTCTGATACCCGTGCAGTGCTGTGACGCCTCTCCTATTTCTTCTTTATATGTATTTCTTTCCTGAGAGGAGGACTTTACTGCATCGAAATAGATGAGTGTTTCATTATACCTACGCTAAATACAAGGTTGTTTTTTACGATTTTGATTGTCAAATTAGCGTGTTTCTCTTCTAGTTTAGCTTGGAGATTCTTATGTTAATTAACCAGTTATTGTGATTTTGATCTTTACTTAACTTCTCCTTTCCGTATGCCTCAACGTAATGCAAAATGAGCTTTTAAAATTTTTTATAGTTTGGAAGCTGAGGGTTTTGAATCGAAGAAAGAAAGTTTCTGGTACTCTCTTTGCGCTGTTAGAATTCCGCCAAGCTTACCTAAAAGTGATTATCCCAGCTTTTGCATTCTCTCACTAGCCGATTCTATAAATTATGCGCCGGTGAAATTAATGAGCCAGCTTATGGTTTATTTTATTTGACTATAGTCTTAGATCTCGTTATCAGCATTCTATTCAATCTAAGCTATCAGCGTTCAGATTGAATTATTTGTTATTGCTTAGTATACATTGCCACAAGTGGTGGTTTCTCTGTGGCACAAGTGGTGCCTTTTATATTAAAAGTCAAATTAAATAAAAAGGTTATTTAAACCTTCTCAAAACTTTGTCATAATATATCTAACGTAGCGATAACTCATAACTCGCTAACTTGTTTAGTAGGATCTGTAGAACTTAACCCCAGCTTCCAAATCAATAGCAACAAAACTGAGGTTCCTGATTACAGCTTAAATTTCTTGGTGGCAGCTGTGGGATCGAAGTGCTTATATTTACTGGTGGCAACGGTAGGATCCCAGCGTTGAAATTTATTGGTGGCAGGGCTACAATCTACAATATGAATTCAACGAAACAATTTTAGTTTGACAATCACACAAGAACTCTTGTGTTTTACTCTAAAGATTGCGGGCGTCAGTCCGGGTAAGAAAAGAAGCGTTGGGTTATAAAATTGAGTTCATCTTAAGGGGCTATCACTTCTATCGACGTGCGCGGTTAGGCGGGACATTTCCGAGAAACGAGATTCTAGTAGCACTGGTTTAAACGGAAGGTTTCCGAGAAATGTTGCATCTAGCTAAGCGCAGCATGTCCCGGCTATGAGAAACATTTTGAAACTTTCCCGAAAATGTTTCGCCTGGAGCCGTGTTCCACACAGGTTCAACCAATCAGACGAAAATTCTGCTTCTGAAGGATCACGGGTAATTTTCAATAGGGCGATGGCTCTCGTTGTGAAATCATGGACGGTGGAAATAGATGACGATTTAATTCAAGAAATGCGGAAAAAGCCGTATATTATATATATATATATATAGCTGTTTTGTTGTAGTATAACTTTTAAGGGCTCATACACCTAAACTTTATAGTCTTCGAAATGTGACTGTTGAAGAATTGGGATATTTAATTTATTTAAAAGCATGATTCCAACATTTTACACGACTACATAATTAGATGCTTGAAACTATAAGCAGAAAGTTTGTGTTGCGACTCCGCTTGTGACGAACGTTCGTCCTGTTTCCACTCATGGGCAGTATTTTAATGGCATGTTGACAACTGAAATTGATAGAATTTTATATGGGCACTCTTTCTAACGAACAAAATATGCGAATATTTTAATGTATCAAAAACTTTATGGACGAAAAATTACAGATTTTTTTTAAAATGCATTTCATAACTCAACTCCAATAAAATAAAAATTTAACATGAAATTCTTAGAATTTTTGGATCACAGTAATTTCTAAATGTTATAAAGCTCTTATTAATATGGAATAAATTATGCAACAGAATGCTTTAAACTGTGCGCCAAGGGGAAAAATGATGACCCTTTTGTAAAGCAGATTAATTATAAAATTTGTGGCAACACAAACTTCTGATACTATTTCAGAAAGCAGCTAATATATGAGTCAGCTGTAAAAGATGAAGTATTGCTTTTAAATAAATATGTCATCCAATTTGCAATAGTCACTATTGAAGATCTTATGGGTTTAAGGTGTATGAGTCCCCTTAAGTCATTTTTAAATGTTATATATTATTAATTATATCGGGAAATTTCAGAAAGAAATATTTTATATGTCTCGGTGATAGTGCTGTTTCTGATGATTTGTTTACAAATTATTCGTCGCTAAATGTTGCCAAATTTGTCGTTTCTGCTGACGTGTGAAAAGAATGTTATTTGTATAGAATTTTTTTTTTTGTATTAAGCTAAGGGGAATAATTTTACTTCCTTGTACGAAGTAAATGGAAGTATTTAATCACGAAAAGTTTCAGGCAGCATATCGAAAAATGACCGCTAATTATGCAATTCGATTTTTGCGTGATATCTATACGTAAGGACAGAATAAAAACTCTTTTCCTCAAAAAATTTAAAACTGCTTTAAAATGAATTCTGAAGAGAATTTTCGTGGCGTCTGTACGAAGTAGTACGTACGTATTGCATAACTCAAAACGAGTAGCCTCAGAAAGTTGAAATTTTGTATATAGGACTGATATAACATGTAGATGTGCACCTCGTATTTTGGTTGCAATCGGCCGCACCAATGTATATAATATATTTATATATATATTCGTCTGTTCCCGGCTCAGTGATCTCAGTTTCTTTACTCTTATATGTTTGTAAATTGTACATTTTTTGCTTTAAAAATGATTGAATTAGTTGTTTTATCTTCCGTTAAGGTTTTTATGCCTTAGTAAATCTGTATGCAATATTTTAGAATTATTACATTTTAAAGTTGTTAATGCCGCTAAGGCTATTAATTTTTTTAGGCGGCAATTGCTTGTTTACATTTGAAAACGAAGACTAGTGGATTTGTTGCCAATCAGAGAAACTAGCTTCGCAACAACAAAGATAACGCTTCATTTATTATTTTTAAATCATGCTTAATCCTTTCTGGAATTTTTCGGGGAAAATAAGTGTTAAGATTTACTTCGTAATTTTTAATATAGATATTTTGAGTTTTTATGTATTTTTGCTTCGCGAAGTGAGAACTGAATTAATTGAATGAGAAATTCTCAATCGTCGTGAAAAAACGTTTTTTTGTTTTGCTTGCTTAATTTCTTTTATCATCGTTCTAGCTTTATTACAGTATTTGAATAGAGAATAGAACATGTGGCAACGATTAGATAATTCTTTAAATGATATAAATTTTGCGTTCGAGTTAAATATACCTACCCACACCAAGAGATTACAGATTAATCGAATTAAAACCAAGAAAAGCTCCCGATTATGACCAATTACTAATAAAACCCTGCAAAATTTACCAGAAAGCCTCCTGCACTATATACATCTTTATGCTTGCTTGAGCATGGAATTTCTTCTAAACAATGAAGCATGCGATAACCATGTCTTGAGAAACCTGGAAAAATGGATCTTCCACTTCAGTTACAGACATCAGTTACTTTAGCTGTGGCAAGCTTTTGAAAGATTAGTCATCAATAGGCTCACTAAATTCGCTGAAGGCAATAAATTATAAGGAACATCAATTTGGATTTAGACCACCCAACAGTTACAGATTACTGAATCATCGGAATCGGAGAGCTTAATAATAATAATAATAATAATAAAAAAAAAAAAAAACCTGTTGCTGATTTTGTTGATATGAAAACGCGTTTGATACGGTTAGCACCAGGCCTCCTTATAACTTATCGGAAACAAATTTCCACTGGATTATCCTACTAATTTCAGTTTTTTTTGAAACAGAACTTCATTCGTATAAGAACGAGCTTCTAATCAGAGTAATGAAAGCAGGTGTCCCTCAGGGCTCGAATTTTTCACCTTTTTTTTAACATCTACAGAAATGACTTCCACCAAAATGCCATTATCGCCTGCTATGCAACGATCTGCAATTCTCAGAAATCCATTAATCCGCAAAAAGCCATCAAAACCTCCAAAATGCATAGACTAATCTTCCCATGGTTTACGTTTGGAAATTAAAATCAATGAAGCAAATCCACCAAATTATTTCCAAGAACCCTTCCAGACGACATCTCAACATATCACATATAATCTCCATCCAAATGAAAAATTGTTAAATTTAGGCGTTATCTCGCTCAAAAACTAACCTTCAAAACCATATCGAAAATATCTGTAAAAAAGCCAACCAGCAATAGCAGATTATGCATTCATAACGAGAAATTCTAACTAGTCTCGCTACAAAAGAGTTATTATATACAAGCATCCTCCCGATTTTACTGTAGCTTCCCCAGCGTGGGCTGCAATTGCAAGAACTCATCGCGAAAGAAGAAAGAATTCTAAATAGGCCCCGAATAATACAATGCGCTTGGTTTGATGAAAGAGCACTCTCACAATACTTAAAATTAAACCACGATTCTGAATTCTAAAGCTTCTCATAACTTTTTATGAAATGTGGCAGTATCCAGAATACACAAAAAACTAGGAAATTATGATTTCACAATGAACAACGCCACAAGAGGCCCACACGATTCACCATAATAGTCGGTGGTAATGTATATATTTTCGTTTTCTTCTATTAGCCAAGATTTTACTTCATTTTACTCATAGATTTATTATCAAATACAAGCGCTATGGACTTTGTTCCTGCAAGCAGGTAGATTTTATGTAAATAGTTTACTCTTGTGAAACGTTCCAATGTAGAATTGGTTTTCACATTTTACTTGCAATTATTGCTATCAGAAATAATTTTTAAAAATTTTAAAAATGCTTACATACATCCTGCAAGCTTGGCGCAACCAAGCTCCATCAACAAAATGCTTTTGATCCTCGATAAATGGCGTCACAAGAGCACCTCATTTGTTAAGTTACTATCTACAACGGCAGCACGGAGCCTCCGTCGTAGTAATCTCTGAGTTCTAGCACAGCATGGGTACAAATACTACATATTATTGATACACTACTCGATTCTTCAAGCATTAAAGTCAGTATCATATATTGGAAAGGCCGTTAATGGTCGATTGCCTCTTACATGATAGACATAGATTAGACATAGTTTAATATATGAACTCCTACTTTCGTACGTATAAGATGTGCCTACTCACGCAGCTAATTTCTTCGCCCGGGGGTGTACTTTTTTAGTACCATTCACTTGGAATATCTTTGCCTATGCACTTAATGCGATCTATGGCGAAACTCTTTATAGTTAATACCAGAAAAAGTAAGTCATAAAGTTATATATGAACGAAATATAATACTGTTAAGTGATCTAGCGCAGGTGTCGCTATGGTAAACAATCTATGAATTTAAAGAATGCATTTATCTATTATGTTTTTAGGGGCTGTAGGCGAAAAGATTTAATTCGATCCATAAGTTTAAATGAAATGCAAGAAAAAATGCGTTATTTAATATCGTACAAGGAAGTCATGTGGGTACCATAGATTTTAAATATATTGTATATGCGGATTTACTTTCTGCTAATTAATTTTATTACTTTGATATAAAATGCAAATCAGCGATATGCTATTTATTAAAACATAGATTATGTAATAATGAGATAACATAATTGTATGCGATTATCTTCCTGTGATTAATGAGATGCTTTTTAATTATAAACACATTAATAACATATTTTTATTATAAATGATACATATGAACATTGAATTATGGATTATGTTATGAATGATGAAAACATTTGTATAACATCATAATAAAATCTTATATACATATAGAATAAACAACATCAACACTCTAAACCTCGATATCTCTTGCTTGTGGAGGTAAATATGTCTTATTAGATGTGTGTGTGTAATATATATAATATAGATATATATCTAGATAGTATGATACAAAAATGACAATGCAAAAGTTATTTAAAGTTACTTCTAATTCATATAAAGATTTGTATTGTCATCAACTGTAGTCATCGGTTTCTTGCGCATTATCATGGATATGGAATACACAGTGACATAATTGAAATGCGTTTTGTGATTAGTCTCTCATTAAATTAACCCACTTACACACAACCTTTACATTTGTAACTATACTTAAATTTAAAAAAAAAAAAAAAAAAAAAAAAAAAAAAAAAAAAAAAAAAAAAAAAAAAAAAGGCGTAGCTTTTATGAAATTTAACATTATAGGGATGAAATAAAAATTTTGACTCACAAAACAAATATCAGTAAATGACATTATATCATATACATAAAAGTATTAAATAAATATATGGATACAAAAATAACTATTTAAAATTATAAAATCAAATATATACAACAGATATATTTGACAATGAATCGGACTTCTTTGTGCATGTTTTTTCTCTTTAGCTTTTAGAATCGCCAGAGTCGAGATAAAAGTAATTTACTTAATAGCCATCACCTTTCTATTATTTTCCATAGCTAACAATAAAGTTTAAAACGAAAAGGGTTTGAGCGATACAAATACAACACGGAAAAGCAATCGTCACTTGAAAGGAAACATCACTTTCGCCAATCTGAGCGATAACTGATTCTTGTTTGGCTGTCAGCCTGTTTACCAAGTGAAGATGGTAACCCGATTTCGCGAAAGCTCACTTCCCAGAATTCAGAATTGTTCTTTCTAACGTTATGTTCCGGCAACTAATATCGTATGTAATAGCAACCCTAAGTTTTTCAGTAATGTCTGAAGATTTACAGCATCGTGTTTAAGTGTGGGACCAGCAGTGTCCGAAAATTGTGTGTGTCATGAGTAATGCTTTAAAGTGTAGGGACTATCAGTGTTCATAAAAAATTCAAGTTATAATCAATATATAGCATCGTGTTCAAGCGTGAGACCAGCAATGTCCGAAAATTGTGTGTGTTGTGAGAAGTGCTAAAAGTGTCGGGACCATCAGCGTCCATAAGTATTTTAAGTAGTGATATAAGAATATACAGGTTTCAGGCTTCAACCAGGGCAGCAAGCCTACAAATCCAGGCTGGTAGGTACCTTTGACATTGTTTTACGTAAAGTTTAAAGACATGCGCTTTTTTTGTTTTATTTCAAATAAAAAAGCATTCATTATACAAATTTGAATCTGTGTTAATAGAGTTGAAATGTTGATGAGTTGCGCTGAAATTAAGCTTATATAATTGAATGCGTAAGAGGGAAGAATTACTATAATTCTGAAGATTATAAATGTTAGCTGGTATTTTAACAAATCATTTCTGAGTCGTCTTGAATGTTTTAAATATTAGAATTTTGTGAATAAAATCTTAGTTTGTGCAAGATTTATAACAAGTGAAAAATTTTTCAGTTGAACGTGTTAAAGGGAATGTTTAGTTCTGAGCATTTATGCATACATTTTTACCTTTGAATGCATACTTTAATATACCTCGAAAATTTTGATGAAAGTATATTGTATCATCATAAGTAAATGTAAAGTACACCGTACTGTCATAGGTAAATGCAAAGTATATTGCAATTTTAAAAATTATTAAAAAAAATAAAGGTTAAATTTTAAATAGCTAAAACTGCTATTTGTTTAAAATATATATAAAGAAAGAGATAGAGTCGTTAAAAGTTATAAAAGAGGACATTAAAACCTTGGCTGAAGAGTTAGGAGAAAAGGTTGGATCTGAGCTTAGGATACTGGATCTAAGACAGCCGATTATTTGTTTAAAAGCAAAGCTTATTTCATAATTTCGTATACCAATTTTATTTATATATTTTAGGTTATTTATTAATAAGAACTTTGATAAGGATAAGAGGCATCCTAAATTTATGAGATAATATTCAGGAGAAAAAACATTTTTATATAGTTGCTAACTTTTTTTTGCACAATAAATGCACTTCAGTTTTAAGTCAGTTTTTTTCCTCCATGAAAACAATACTTTTCATTATTTATGAGATAATATTCAGGAAAAAATTTTTAATACACGTATTAATTCTTCTTCACCGTAAATGCATTTCAGTTTTAAGTCAGTACTTGCTACCTTTTTTCTCGGTTAAAATAATACCTTTCATAGTCGAAAAACACGGTAGTTAATATTTTATTAATAATTGAGTTATTAAAATGAAGAAGATTAGTAGCATACTTTTGAACCGGAGCATCTCTGATATGGTCTGGCCCTGGTCGGTATGTCATGGTTTGTAATCGCCATAGCTGTGTGTTCTTAACTCGATCTTGAATTTTTAGGACATCATAGAATGACGCTAGCCTTTGTTTAGTCGATGACATTTCTTCATCCAGCTACAAAACAGAGAAATGATATCATATTTTTCTACAAATATCATATTTTTATGAAATAAATCTGATAGACTGATATACTTCAAAATTTATTTATTTATTTTACATCAAATTCACATTTATATGGTCTACAGTAAACTTAGAGGAAAAGACAAAAAGTTATCGTAATTCAATCTCAGTTAAATCTTAGTTACAGTCTGTCTATCATGAGAAAAGCTGTCGCCAGTTAGTCTGCAGCTGTCTGTTGCCGTGGAATTGAGCCTTGACCCATCTTCCGTAGGGATGTCTTGAAGACGAATGATAAACTCTTTTCTCCCTCAGCCAACAGTCGCCAAAAACAAAATAACAATAAAGCAGCCCTTGGTTCGGCCCTATTTGAAATTTACTAGCCCTTTTGCTATAGGGACCGCCACCCGCCAGACACTGTGGCCAGGCTCTTCTGGTAGACAGACAGTATCTTTCCTGATTTTCCACTGAGTTCATCTACAGATGAAAGAGATTAGAAATCTCTCTTTCAAACTGAGCTTCGAGGTCAGGTGTTTATTGTCGTTAGGATATGAAATGAGGACTAATTTTTAATACAGTCAAAAGTCTTTAATCCGGACTCGTCGGGACTTCGGCGATTCCGGATTATCTATTTTTCCGGATTATAGATCATCAGTTTAAATCGGGTAAGATGGCATGCAGAAATTATAAAATTAAAAATATGAAACCGTAATTTATAAAATAATGAGCAATTATGATCTAAAGGGTATCAAAATTTACAGAAAAAGGAAGCTTAATATTTATTTGTTTACTTTATTAAACATTTCTTTCAATGTAAGTTGTTTAAGTTGCTTCGTTTTATGTGATAATACTTTCTCTTTAATTCTATAAACAGAAATAATATCTTCTTCGGTTACAAAGTTCCGCTGTTCAAGTCCTATAATTGCTGTGTCGAGAATACCGACTAATTTGTCAATCGAAATTTTTTCGTTTTCAATCGCATGCGTAAAGCATACCTTACGCATAGTCGAAATTAGAAAATTGCAACCAGAAAACTATTTGATTTGTATTCGTGATATTTATAATGACGAGGAATTTGAATTTAAATCATATCAAAGACGGAGTACATCGAGATTAAATACTACATTTAGTAAGGAATTCTAAGCCGAATAAAACAAAAACATTTGCCCTGAAGATAACGATAGTGCTGACAGATCAACTTCCAGTTCATTGCGCGCCGCGACGTCCCCCACCCCAGATTTCGGAACGGTTAGATAAACAAAAGATATACCTTTATCCATTTTTTGTAGGAATTCGTTTTTTGTTTGATGGACATCGAAACATACTTTCGTTTTCTAGATCCTTTGGGAGCTCCAGCATCGGAAATTCTATTTGACATAATCCAATTCAAAGTTTACTTTTAAAATTGCTCTTACAGTCTGCAAAAAATAATAAGCCGGATCCAATTCGAAGATTAAGGAACAACGCAATCATCAACATTAACTGAAATAGATAATTAGATAATTTTAGCTTATACCGTCCGTTATACATTAAACGCGCACGCGACAACGTATTCTGCGCTTGCGCAGTCGTAAATGTCTTGCGCGCACGCGTAAAACGCCTATGAGCATGCGTCAACGCAGCGTATGCGCAGAAAGATTTTAGCTTTGAGGTCCGGATTATAGATCATTCCGGATTATGGGTGTCCGAATTAACGACTTTTGACTGTAACTAACAAATGCAATATTTCTGAATTACTTTTAATAAAAGGAAGAGGCTAAACTCATTCTATTCATGAAGAGAGAAAATAATTTCGGCCTATTTTATGTTTTATACTGGGGTGTTTTTCTTCGTTTATTCATGTATTCCCCATAGCCATGTTCTAGAGTACGATTTAGAAATTTATGTTTTATTGGCATGTCTACACCTTGTACTCTCTTTGGTAATATAAGTACCAAAGTACTCTCTTTGGTAATATAAACTATAGTAGATCTTACTAAGGAAACTGGCGACTTCTCTCACAAGCGTAGGGTATACCAGCACAAAAGAAGGGTACAAATAACCCTTTATTATTCGTCAAACTCTGAACAGAAAAGGCACGTACTTTGTTCTTACGATAACACCGACAACTTGCGGTGGAACTTAAAAATCGCTACACAATAAATTCAAAAGTTAAAGAGTAGTACTGGATTAAAAATTTAATTTAAGGCTAACTAGGTTGACTCAATAACATACCTGGCTTATTAAATGGCCAAAAAGGTGTATCAGCAACTCCGCATAACAGCAAGGACAGACTCGTAACGTGCGCTGCCTAGCGAAAACACGCTCTGAATAAATTACAAGATTCACTCGTTTAAATACTCACTTCACTTAACCTTAAATTTGCATCCTGGCAAGGAAATGCGAGGGGAAAATGAGAGGTTCAGGAAAGATGTTAAACTTAAAGTAATTTATTATGCAAAATAAAGGAAAACCTAGATCCTGTAAAAGAGACTAGTACCTGAAATTTTTCACATTTATATTTTAGCACACGTTTTTCAAGGCTGTTCATTCAAACCTATGCAACGTCCCCTTACACTGAGAACATACAGAAAAGGTACGGAGTTTCAGATGTCAATGTATCGTGAGTTGGATATCTTGGGGAAAATCATTCCTATCCCAAGCTAGCGCATTTGATATTAACGAACAGTGCTATTCTACGGAGTATAGGAGAGTATATCCCGTAGGAAGCAGGAAAGGTAAATTATTCAGGGAGGATGAAGAAAAAGGAATAGACGAAGAAAATAAAGGCAACACCTTCTGCAGGTTGATTGCATGGGTTTATGCTAATCTGAAATCATTTATCAAGTATGGTATTTTTAAATTAAGAAAATATTATAATGAGAAATGCAAGTTCTCATTAATTCTAAGTGAAACTGAAACATTTTATTTCTTTTCTACAAATTATTGCCATAAAAGTGTTCAGAAAGGTTAAAGTTTCTCTAGACGTTTCTTGAGAAAAATTCAAACAGCATCTAGATCTCTATATTAAAAGCATTTGTACACAATCAAATAATTTTCCTGTGGTAAATACCTCTATTTGAGAAATTGTGCATGTATTCTAAGAATTTTATGTTGACTCAAAATCACGAAGTTCAACTATTTTCAAATCTTACATTTTGTAAAATTAATTCAGCTTATGTCATACATTTTTAGAATTTAAAACCCTTTCACACATAACAACATTTTACTGAAGCATATTGAGAAAGAGTGGTCAGAGTTCCTATTATAACTACACTAGTATATAATTTAAAAGCGTAAAAAATACTACATTCATACCCCTCTGAAAATTTTGCACTCTTTTACAGTAACTTCTGTAGGTTTCATTCAATATTGTTACGGGGTTCGTAGATTTGGAGTGAATAATGACAATACTACTTGATGAAGTATCGAAACACACTTTATTGGCCAATATTGTCAGGACAGTTCCAAAGTCTCTTTTACAGTCGTCGAACTGTTATAAACACGCTGACACAATCAGCGACACAGCCTTCACACTGTCAGGCTATAACGGTGGAGACAGCTTCACTGCAAAGCACTGGAGTACAGCTTCTGACTCTGCTCGGTCGTTCTCGGAACTCCACGTACTCTCGAGACTCTCCATGCTACAACTCGCGATGCACTCGACGACACACTAGCACAGCTCTGGGACTCTTCGGTTCAGTCGTTCCCGGAACGCAACACGCTCTCTCGACGATGCACTAACCGCGATATACTAACAGACTCCTTCGGTGCATTCGACGACCCACTCGGCACTCCCTGCCCGGATGTTAACTCGATCGACTCCGCACGGACTGACTCGCTAGACGAGACACACACTAACTGACTGCGGACTATCAGGGTTTATATAGCTTTCGGCTTGTGTTCGAGAACATTCTGGGCTAAACAGGTAAGAATTCGTTTCAGAAGGTTCTCCATCCGTCCATGGCATATCGTCAAATTTTGTCGCCAAATGTGGCAACTCTGCATTCCTTTGCCATTTTATGGCAACCCTAAAACTGCTTTGCGGGGAAGCCATCTTTACCGCGCCTGTACATTTCGTAACAATATATTCAATTCATTGTTGGTATCTCACGAGATGATTCCGAAGTAGGAAATTTTTTGAGGCAAGTAAAACAGGCAGATGTGCAGTCTGTGTAAATTTCGGTTTAAAAGCCAAAATGTCAGCAAAAGGATATTATAACTTGAATTAACGGAAGTAATAAAAGGCAGGTCTATTTTAAATGTAACTGACACGAGAGTGGAATTGCATTTTTGGTTTGGAACTCTGGAGAAATATTGTTCAGTGTTATTTCTCGGAATGCCAATTCCCAGGATAGTGTTCCAATCTTGGAAAATAACTGATTTCGCACGTGTTCTTTATTTTGCCGGCAAGTGAAGAAATGTGTGAACCAAAGTAAGCCAACGAATTCTTTAATTTCCGTGTTCTAAGTTAAGACTGAAATCTACTAAATCAAGGGTGGCTAAAGGCGCAGGCGAGCGGTGCGGCTCTTATGCAAATAAGACATATGAATGAAATATGGTAAACTAATGTCCAAAAGAAAGTAATTATTTCTTCTCATTTTACTGATGAATGTCGAAAAGTAATTATTTTATTTCTTATTGTTAGTTAAAAAAAACTTTATGATGTTATTCAAATATCTTTATATATATAAGCGGCTTAAGTGTTTGTCGCCGATAGTTTATTGTTGCCATTCGGAAAAATGAGAGCGAAAGTTAACGTTTCCGCAGTTTTTAATTAATATCTCGGCCAATTAAAGTCGTACGAAGATTAGAACGATATCAACGGATTAGGAGAATTTTTTTGGAATCCGAGGATAGGCGTCTCGAATTTCAACTCGGCGCCGTTCTGTAGATATTCGAGAAAAAAAAAATTGGAACGTAGCCGAATCCCTCTAATAGGGAAACCCAAGAAAAAAGTGGAAAATGTAAATAAAACGTAAGGGAAAATTAGTTTTTAATTAATATCTCGGCTAATT